GTCCTTTACCATGCGTTTCTTTTTTTATTACATTTTTTTTAATTTTGAGGGGGAGATAAATAGGTCTAATTTATTTATTTTAATGGAGGTACTGGGGATTGAACCCAGGACCTCATGCATGCTAAGTATGTGCTCTACCACTGAACTATACACTCTCCACTTACCATGTTTCTAATCAAACCAATTTCACATTCTAGTAGAGGGAGAGAAATAAGATGTTTAGTGTGCAAAATGGAGGAGTCTTGATGGAGAAATCTTTTCGAAAAATGATGCTGGACAAATGGATATCCGTGTGTAATAGAATGAAGTCAGACTACCTCATACCATATTCAAAAACTAACTCAAAATGGATCAAAGATCTCAATGAAAGAGTTAAACTACAAAACCCCTAGAACAAGCATAAATCTTTGTGACCTTGGTTAGGTAATGATGTCTTAGATACACCCAAAGCTCAGGCAACAAAAAAAAGGATAAAGTTGCCTTCATCAAAATTAAAAACTTTTGTGCTTCAAAAGATACTATTAAGAAAGTGGAGATGGGAGAAAACATTTGCAAATTACGTATCTGATGAGGGGACTAGTATCTAGAATATATAAAGAACTCTAGTGACTCAATAATAAAAAGATAAAAGATTCAATTAAAAAATTAGCCAAGGATTTGAATAGATGAGTTTTTCCAAAGACATACAAATAGCCAATAAGCACATGAACAGATGTTCAACATCACTGATCATTACAGAAATGCAACTCAAAACCATGAGATACCACTTCACGCCAACTGGCATGACTAGAATTAAAAAGGTCAGGTAACAAGTAGTTATGGAAATATGGAGAAATCAAAACCCTCAGACATTGCAAAGCCATTTTGGAAAGGGGTCTGGCAGCTACTCAAAAGTTACCCTATGACCCAGCCATTTCATTCCTAGATACATACCCAAGAGAACTGAAAAACATGTTGACACAAAAACTTGTACATCAAACTTCATAGCAGCATTATTCATAACAAGGACAAAGTAGAAATGACCCAAATATTCATCAACTGATGAATGGATGCCAGTCAAAAAAAGACCACATATTCTATAGCCCTGTTAATATAAAATGTCCAGAACAGAGAAATCTACAGAGAAAAAGAATAGCTGTTGCCTAGGGCTGGGGATTTGAAGGGAAGTGGGAAAGGACTCCTCATGGATATGGGATTTCTATGCGGGATGAGGAAAACATCCCAGAATTAAAAGTAGTGACAGTTGTGTAACTTTCAAAATACACACTTTCGTGGTACACTTTAAAAGGGTGACTTTTATCTCAGAAAAAAAAAAGTTGGTAAAAAAAAACTATGGAGGAACTTAAAGGAGGAAAGTGATAGGAAGTGAGTTTTTGTGCGTGTTCTATTAAACAGGGCGGTTGAGAAAAATCTCAGTCAAGTATGAAGAATGACCAAATAATAAATTGTTAACATTAGTGGCTGGTGGCAGTCCTTTCGGTTGCTCATTCTACCACAAGGTTACTGGTCCTGGCAGGCGCCATTTTGGAATCCTCCCTCTAGCTTATTAGTATGGGAACCTAACTACACCCACCAACCTGTTGGCACCAGTCCTGGGGCCCCGCAAGCCAAGCCTCTAGCTGCATGGGGACACAGCTTTAATCACCAGCAGGCTGGAAATAGCCATAGGTCCCTGAGGGCTCCAGTGCCCTGGGAGCTGGCCCCACACACACCAGAGAACCCAGGAGCTGGGCCCCCCCTCCAGTGGTCTGATACCCACTCCAGAACCCTGGTACCCTATAGCCAGGGACCATGGGACCCAGCTCTGCCCACTAGTGGGCCAGCTCTAGCTCTTGACCCAGCCTCGCCCACCAGTGGGTGGGCAACAGCTCTGACACACCTTGGGCCCCTCGGCCAGCAGCCTGAGCCCTGGCCCCACCCACCAGTGTGCCAGCGCTAGCCCTGGGCCCTGGCCCTATCCACCAGCAGGCTGGAATCAGCCTGGAAGCCTCCCCAGGCCCCCAAAGCCAGCTGCCCATGAACCAGCCCTACCAGTGGCTGGTGGCCTCTGCACTAGGCAGGACCTGGTAACCAACCAGGCCAGGGCCAGTCATGCCTACCAGCGTGCCCACGGTAGTCTGCCCCGCCACCACAGCAGGGCCCCCACGTTCACACAGCAGGCACCCCAAGAGCATACAGATCTGGTGACCAGAGGGGAGTGTGCTGCTGGGACACATGGGACATACGGCTACTCCTCCGAGATCAGGGAACATTACTGACCTACTTAATACACAGAAATAAAAACGGCAAATTAGGAAAAATGAGGAAATAGAGGAATGTATTTCAAATGAAGGAACAAGATAAAAACCCAGAAGAGCTAAATGAAGTGGAAAAACAATCTACCTAGTAAAGAGTTCAGGGCAGTTATCATAAAAATGCTCCATGAATTCAGAACACAGTGAGTTTAACAAAGAGTTAGAAAATATAAAGAAGACTCGGTAATACGTGGGGAAAAAAATACACTAGAAGGAATCGACAGATTAGATGAAACAGAGGAACTGATCAGCAAACTTGAAGTCAGAGTAGTGGAAATCACCCAAGCTGAACAACAACAACAAAAAAGAAGACAATTTAAGAGACCTCTGGGAATCCAATTTTTAAAGGATGAAGTAATGCTGTCACTGTCTGCAGATGACATATCCTATAAAGAAAACCCTAAAGACGCCACCAAAAAAACTGTTAGGACTCATCAGTCAATTCAGCAAAGTTCAAGATACAAAATTAATTAATACACAGAAATCTATTGCATTTCTCTACACTAACAACTATCAGAAAGAGAAATCCCATTTACAGTTGCACCAAAAAGAATAAAATACCTAGGAATAAATCTAAGGAGGCGAAAGACGTGCACTGACAAAGCTATACCACAGTGATGAAGAAACTGATGACACTAACAGATGGAAAGATACATGCTTGTGGATTGAAGAAACTTGTTAAAATGAACATACTCCTCAAGGCAATCTACAGAGTCAGTGCAATCCCTAACAAAAATTACCAGTATTTTTTTACAGAACTGGAACAAATAATTCTAAAATTCGTATGGAAACAAATGATCCCAAATAGCCAAAATAAATCTTGAGAAAGAACAGACCTGGAGGTAACATGCTCCCTGATTTCAAAGTACACTATCAAGGTAGAGTCATCAAAACAGTATGGGACTGGCTCAAAAACAGACACACAGATTAATGGAACAGACTAGAGAGCCCAGAAACAAACCCACACTTATCCTGTCAATTCCTCTATGACAAAGGATATGTGAAGGAAAAAAGACAGCCTCTTTAATAAATGATGTGGGAAACTGGGCAGCTACACGCAAAAGAATCAAATCGATTACTTTTTCACACCATATAAAAAAACAAACTCAAAATGGATTAGACTTAAATACAAGGCCTGAAACCATAGAACTTCTAGAAGAAAAAACATAGGCAGTGGCTCTTTACCACTGCTCTTAGGAATGAATGTATATATATATATATATTTGATGTCTCCTTAGGTAAGGGAAGCAAAAGCAAAAATAAACAAATGGGACTACATTGACCTAAAAAGCTTCTGCACAGTGAAGGAAACTACCCAACACAATGAAAAGGCCACCAACAGAATGGGAGAAGGTATTTTCAGAAAATAAATCCGATAAGTAGTTAACATTCAACAAAATATACAAAGAACTCCTACAGTTCCTCAGAGAAAAACAAAACAACCTGATTTAAAAAATGGACAGAGGACTCGAAAAGACATTTTCCCAAAGATGAAAGGGTTTCCCACATGAAAGGATGTTCAACATCACTCATCATCAGGGAGACACAAACCTAAACCACAATATCCCCTCACATCTGAGAATGGCTATCATCAAAAAAGACAAGTAACAAGTATTGTCAGGGATGTGGAGAAAAGGGAGTCCCCATGCACTGCTGATAAGAGTGTAAATTACTGCAGCCATTATGGAAAACAGTATGGAGGTCCTCAAACAAATTAAAAGCACGACTATCATACAATCCAGCAATTCCACTCCTGGTATTTATCCAAGGAAAACAAAATCATTAATTTGAAAAGATACACGCATTCCTGTGTTCACTGTGGCATTATTTACAATAAATAGCCAAGACAGGGACACAACTTACATGTCCATCAACAGATGAAGAGAATGCGTTACACATGTACAACAGAATACTACCACAAAGTAACAGAGTCACAGATTCAGACAACAAACATGTGGTTGCCAGAGGTGGGGGAGTGGGGCTGAGTGAAATAGGTGAGGGAAATTAACAAGCATTTCCAGTTACAAGAGTCATGGGCATGAAAAATATTTACACACATGTATACTTACATTCCAAAATGAATAGTTCAGTTAAAAAACACTTATATCTGACTTCTGATAATTTCCAAAAAAATTTAACTTCAATCAAATATGACGTTGAGAGGACAGGGTATAGCTCAAGTGGTAAGAGTGCACGCTTAGCATGCACAAGGTCCTGGGTTCAGTCCCCAGTACCGCCTCTAAAAATGAAACAAATAAGTAAACCTAATTACCCTGGCGGGGGGGAGGGGTACTTTGTCTAGTTCAGAAATTTAGTAACTATAATCCAGACTAAATCCTGAAGTTTAAAATAGCTCTCATTTGAGAAGTTTATAAGCTTCTCAGAGCACAAGGCCTCAAATCTTAAATTACATAGTAGAGATCGTAGATTGCCCTGCCATGGCTTAAGATAACAAAATTTAATACAGTAATGAAGACCAGAGTACATTTCAATGTTTATCTTTGGAAAAGAAGATTCATCACAGCTTCACAGCCACTTTCATTCCAGGTACGGTTTTTTAACATTAAGAGTTCTCTGCAAACATTTCTCACAAGGAAAGTTCACTCCTGGGATGAGAATATTATCATCCTCTTACAGCCAAGGAGGCAGGACATCAATTCGCCAGGATAAGTTACCAGTTAAGAGTAAAAACCACCAGACTCCAAAGTCCATATATTTACTTTATTGAATTTGTTAATGTTACAGAGTTCTTGCACTGCCAAACCATGCCTGAGAATTCAAAGAAAGAAATGGTACAATGGACAGCCACACCCACCCATCATATAGTATATTAAAACTTGATTCATGTGCATTTTGGTAATTTCAAAATCTTTAAAAAAAAAGTTACAACAAGGGTTGGGATTTTTAAATCTCCTGCAGGTCTTCAGATTTTTAGGGCCAGTATGCCATTAAATAACACTTCCACATATTAATCTCAGTTCATTTCTTAATAACATAACCCTCAACAAAATTTTGCTGGAAAAAACCACATTACTCTTAAGGGGAAATACGTGGCTCAAAGTCCAAGAGATTATTTCAGATTTTTGGTTCCCAAATGAAGTCTTCAGTATAACCAAGAATCCCTTGTTTCTCAGTCATCCAATCTCTCTGGCTGGCTCAGCCACTCACCCAAACCCACCAGAAGGTAGGCATCCTGCCTGCCACCTCAAATAATGCCAATATTATTGCCCAGATATGGCTGGCAGGCCCTGTCAGGTGGCACCGTCACCCTCCTAGGAGTGTGCACTGACACTTGTATCAAGATTGAACTCCTAGAGGAAAATGCTCCCCCATCAGGCTAGTTTTACTCACCCATCTGCTTCACTCTTGCCAGTAGCAAGTCTGCAACTCCTACATTTGGCAAAGGGATTTATTATAGAGAAACCCAGACTCTGCATCAAGTGGTCACATGCCACTTTGAAAAATTTCTATTGAACCAAAGATACAAAACTAGGAAAATTACCAGACTGTCTCATCAGATGGAGAGACTTCTCAGTAATCCTGGGTAGCTTCCTGACGCCCCTTTTCAGGACTAAAAATTACTGGATAGTTTAAGCTGTAATTATTAAAAACAGAAGTGCTACATCACCTGTCTTCTGCCCCTGACTCTCCAAGTGAACAACATTAAAGACACACCGGAAGCCTGGTAACAAAAAGCTACGCTGGGACAATCACTGCGTCTACAGACTATCCAATACCTTAACACTGGGGCACAAATACATCTGGAATTCTTGCCAAAGATCCTGCAAGATCCATGAAACTTAAGTGGGTTTGGGGTTGAGGTTCTGCTCACGTTGCTTTGAATTTGTAAGGACAGGTCAGTGGATCCCTCGGCCTGAGCAGAAACCACTCTTTACTATACAATTTAGTTTAGTAAACTGCAGTTTACCACACAATTTAGACCTGGTTAGAGGAGGCTTTAGCAGCACCTGAAGTAGCGCCTCCTGCATCCACTGCCCTTTACACCAAAGGCTATTTGGTTCCACTCAAGAGATTGGCAAATTCATGAGACATTTCACAACTCTAATGCATATTTCAGGTTACTTAACCAAGCAATATGCGCTGTCAAAGAAATTATTCCAAGTCAAAGCAAAAAAAAAAAAAAAAAAGCCTTAATATAGAACACAGAAAAAGCACTACCAAAATAAAAAATTACTAAAAGAAACAAGATTATTCCCCCCACCCCTATACCCACCTTGGGTGGACCGGCGTTTGGTTGAATCTAATCTGTGGTAACCTCAGAATACAACTCAAAGTTTAAATTATAAATCACAGCCCTACGCAGATAATCTGAACACATCAGTTCTTTTGAGAGCGGCATGTTCCAGGATTTCTAATATAGCCACAGCCCACTACAGAGTATTCCTTATGGTTGGGGCACAGGACAGGTTAATTAAGGTCACTTAAATCTTCATCTTTTACAGCAGATCAGAACCCAGATGGCTGACTTTCTGCAGGATTTCTGATAGGAATCCAGGAGAGCTGGTTTCAAGTTTCACATCGACACTTAATAGCTGTAACCTTATCCAGAAGTTGTGATCCACATGAAGTCCACAATGAGTGCAGCAAATCTGAGGTAGTCAACCCTTACGAAGGCTCAGTATCTGAACATAAAAAGATTTTGAAATGACCACTGGCTGCAGTTTTTGATTTTTTTGTACTTGCAGAGTAATTATGAAAGAACACGGCTGAATCTAGTTCACGCATTTATGTAACAACAAAAATCCCCCTAAATCCAATACACACAAAGAACAGTTATGACACTTTAAACTTCCAAGTGCAATAGGGCCGGTCACGTGTACTGAGTGGTCTGCATCAGTCGTAGGTCCAGCAGAGATCAGACGATGGATGGCTGTCCGTGGTGGTTAGCTGTGGTCTAGTTACCTTAGAAGGGTTAGCAAAGACCATTCCTTAATTGTACTGTGTGTGGCTGCATTTCTGATTCTCAAGCACAGCGTACTGGTTGTCTAGCTGCAGTTTAAGGGCCTGGTTTTTTGAAACCTCATCCCTACCTCTAGTTTTGTGTCTTACTACTTCAAAGCTCTTCTCCATTTCTTTATCCCTAAGGGAAAAGAAATGTAATCAGTAAATGTTTCTTTTTCACTGCGTTGTTTTGAAAACATCCTTCCTTGAATTAAAAAAAAAAAAGCCACCCCTTGGAAAAATCTTGACGAAGGGACAGGAGGGGAAAACTGGTGTATAAAATCCTTATCAAAATCAGTTTTAAGGCTTCAATTGAACAAAAAATAGAGAATACTGTACTGAAGCGCTATGGTCCTATTTTCCTATGGCAGCAAATCTGCTTGATACTATTAACTGAACACCTATTTTGGGACCAACTTCAAGACAACTGGAAAGTTAAAAAGCTGTCTAATGACACGGTGGTTCCTTCTAAGACTCACTTTTACTCTCAGAAAATAATAGACAATACATCTATCTCTCTTTATGCATAAGTAAGGCCAACAAGTTTCTCATTCAAGTAAAATTTTACTCCTTATTCAGTGACCTCACCTCACTTACACTTCATACGAGTGGATCAGATAGAGATGAGTGTGGTGAAATCACTGCCCCTTATTTTGCAGGGCAGAGGAGCAAGAAAAAGTGGAGGTTTAAATTCAGGCCAGCTGTGCTCTCAAAGAGGCAAAAAGGCTGGGAATTTAATTTAAAAGCCACCCAAAAAGCAGTATTTCCATCTGATGTCATTTACACTTCTTCCCATTTTATTTACTTTTTAAAAAATGCATGTCCCTAAATAAGATGTGGATGTGCCATATGTGGTCATTTAACTCCAGGTAGCATTCATTTTAAGTACCTGCTGAAATAAGATTATTTTTAATATTAGATTTATAAATGCCAACATCTTTCATCTACTCACATTAATTGGGAATACAATAAAATACTGCTCTGACTTTTCTAGTTACAATGAACACAGAAGCAGCAATAATATACTCAATATGAAGAATTCTAACTAGAGGAGACTTGTCACAGCTAGAGAACATACACCTGGGACACGAGAAACTTCTGCAGATGAAGTCTTTGATGCTCTTTCTCGTCGCCCCCTCCAGGGCCCTCACCCACTTCCCCCCAAGTCCTGCGCAGAAGTCCCACGCTAATCCTCAGCTGCCTCTCAGCTGCAGCCTGGGCTTTCCTGTAGCCCCCCAGGGGGGTTTTCAGACCCCCAACACCCCACTCTCTGGTAAAAGGAACAGGGCTCCAAAACAAACACAATACTCAGAGTACTTACTTCCGGCTCTCTACATGCTTGGCAGTGGACTGCAGGGACGGGAACTGTGTGTCGCTGTAGATTTCTGGTGGTCCTTGTGGTGTTTTCCTTGTTGTGGTCAACCTGGCCCCTGGGGGCCTATACACGCCACTAGTCATTGTCGGTTCTGGGGTTTCTGTAACTAACAATTTATAATAGTTTATAGGGAAATGATTCAAGTGCTTGGCATTTTAATAAGCTACTCCTGAATTCCTGACCATCTAACAAATTATGGAAAAAACCAACACCAGCATTAGGGTCTCAACAACAGAAGGAAAGTCACCTGAGGAAATGTCAAAGTGAAAGCCTGTTTTTCGAGGGTAGTCTTCTAATTTCTCCTCCATGTACAATTTTAATTATCCACGTAAAATGAGTTATGTTAAGTCAACTTATTGGAAGTGGGAAAGAAATCTGCTGGTCCTGGGAGACAGGCCTCTTCGGGGCCTGCCTTTCACAATAGCACCACTTCTACAGCAGTGAGCTGTGAGGTCCTTCCTCTTTCACTTTCTGGTTAAAAAAGGGGAAAAACACAGCTGAACAGCCCCAAGTCTTGTACCTCAGCCAACATTTTGGGGACAGAGCCTCCCAGCTTCTTCCTGTAAATCATCCCCCCGCATCCTCAATATGGGTTCAGTGTTTTATACATATGTTTTCCACTAATTAAAAGCTTCATTGCAAATGAACAGCTATGTCATTTATTAGCCCAAATGTAATGCGGCTACAAAGAAAAATGAAAAATTTAATATTTACTCCTCCCTAAAATTGACGTATAGTAGTAATCTGTGGTCTCTGACAGTAATATTTGGGGTGATTTGTTATTCATTATTCTACATAAAATAATGGGTATGCATTACAGCAATATTTCTCAAATTTTTCTCACTATTGCCTAAGGAGCCTTTTTAGATCTTTTTCCTCAAGAGCACTGCCCCACCTGCCGCACCAAGGCATGTTTATACCAGATACACTGCACATATGTTTACACACTCTGGCCCTCTGATGCACCACAAACCTTTGTAACATCTAAGATTTCTTTACCCACCCACACTTCCCCTCACCCCCAAGAACCACTTTTCAGCCCCTGGGAGTGATGAAATTCACTCTTCTGAGAATTCATGCTTCAAGACAGAGTAAAACAGGGAATAGGAGGGAAAAAAGACTAACACAGGTGAAACACAGGGACCCAGTATTCCTTAGTCAGCTGTCCAAAATTTAAAAAAATGCTTAAAAACTGTAAATTTGGGAAGTTAGTTTACCTACAGATTTAAGCAGCCTACAGAAAAGCGTGTATCTTAACTTCCAATTCCTTTATTTAGGATGTGAAAGTCTTACAAATCTCTCCCCCAGGAATGGAAACCTCACTCACCCAGGGCAAGCATGCATTTGGTTGAAAGCTGATTGTATGTAAAATTATATATAAACAGACATCTTTATGAAAATCAAGTATTCACATTACCAACTACTGGAGCAGGAGGTGCTTGTACCGCAGCGGTTTTGTTCCAGGGGCCTGAAGATTTTTCTACACCGCCGCCTCCGCCTCCACCTTCTTCCCAGTTATCACCTGGATCTTCTCTTTTGTCATTTTCATCTTCTTCCTTTTCACTATTGGAAAAGCAAACAAATGAATTCAATTGCAGAAACACCAGGAAACCTGCCAGTCCAAATCCTTAGTTCTATCAATGCCTATCTGTATGACCCAGGAGGAGGTACCCCTTTAAGTCCAAATGCCTCACTCGTTTAAAAAAAAAAGGAGAGAAAAAGAGGGAATTTATTTTATGCACTGGGACTTCAACTTAACTGCATGTGGGACTGGTTGCTGAAAAAAGGTTCAGGAAATTACTTGGTCTAATAGTCTCCATTTCCCTTTTTGCAAACTTCATATACTCAAGAACATCTAGAAATATTTAACATACTGACATGCCAGGCTTATAACAATATGCATGATTATTTATAGCAGCCCCTACTGAGGGAGGGGAGAGAGGTCAATTTAACGTGAAATATAGAGAAACAGGCAACTTGAAGGATTAAAAGTACAATTTTTAGAAAACAGATTTTTCTAGGATCAAAGTGTACAAACAGGCATTTATGGTAAGCATATTTTTAGTGATCAAATGAATGGTTTTTAAAAATTATATAATTTCGTTTGCTAATCCCTTTACTACATGTTACAAAATACTCTCAAAATTAATTCCCATTCTAACAGAGGAAAACAATTCAGTGTTGAGTATTTACATCAGCACTTAGATTTTATTAGTCTCCACTGTTTAGACACAGGGAATACACAGAGCTAGTCTCTAACATCAGAGATGTGTCACCCATTTAAAGAAGAGATTACAAAAATTCAGTCTTTGTCTTACTAGTCATTATAAATGCAAAATATTTCCTCAGTGGCAATACACCATTCTAAAACTGCCTGCACTGTTCTATTTAATGCCAATTTATTTCTTTATTCTTAAATTGACTTGAGTCAGAAGTCTGTAATCTCTCCAAAAGTATCTTTGGTTATTTCTCCTTGTGCTGGATTACTTATTACTGTTTTACGTAACTTGAATGTTCTAAATTATCAAGCACATACTGCCGGCTTGACAGCACAGAGTTAAGTGCCAGATCAAACTTCCTTTTTTGCAACTCTTTGCCCTTGCAGATGACGCATCTGGCACAGACCACCAACCTTTTCCCTGGACTAGTTTCCGAGACAGCGGTGGTGTTTCCTAGGTCTTCAGCTTATCAACCGCCTTCACCATTCTCACTACCCTTTTCTCTACTAAAAATAAACAAAAACATGCTGTTGCCTAAAGCTCTGTCCCCGGCCTTCCACTCAGACGTCTTCTCCTTTTGATATCTGATCCATGATCACGGCAATGACAATGTACATGTGACTCCCGCCCTGACTGTGACCTCGGCAACATCAAGGCCTCTCTTGGCTTGTGCAAAATGACATCTAAGGGTGCTTTTCTGTCATTTATATTAAAACAAGACAAATTCTGGATATAAGACAAATTTCTTGAATAGCAAATGGTCTCCTTTAAAGACACTTAGATAATGGTAGCATCATACACTGCCCAACCACCAGAGGCGAGTCCAGAATTTAAAAGCCTACGGTGGCAACAAGAAGGGCAGAGGGGAATGAACTTATCTTCTATCTGCATTTATAGTAAGATTTTACTTAAGACTATACAGCTATTTAAAATGACAGGCCTATACTAACAGGGAAGTAATATTTCACGTCATATAAACCAACAGTGTACTAAAACAAAATTTATGCACCTAATATAACTAGGAAGACATCCAGAATGATTTTTTTAAATGTTAAAATAAGTGGGTGCTAGAAGGCATGACTCTCTTCATCATGCAGGAGGCAGTTACAAGCAGATTCTAAAGCCAGACTGCCTGGTTCAGGACACCCGCTCTGCCATTTACTAGCCGGGGGATGGAGTCTGGCACCCGATTTCTGTAGGCCTCTGTCTCCTATATGTAAGATGGGGATTACAGCCCCGTTATGAAGTCTGAGTTAATGGCTACAAAGTGCTGAGATCAGTGCCTGGCACACAGTAAGCGCTGTAAGCGTTCGCTATTACATGCCTTTTTAATATCTGAGTTTTCACACAAGCAGCACAGGTACCACCTCTGTAACAGGAAAAAAAAAAGTTTTATTTAGAAAAAACCAACATGAAACCATGTTCTTTTAAAATGTACACCAAGCTGTATGACTGTTTTCTAAAGCTTTTAAGTAGAATGGTAAGGGTCTGTCATAATTTATCTAGGGGTCTAAAAGTGGTATCCAAATGTGGGAATTATCCAAAAAGAATTTTTGACGTTGTCCACTTCTAAAGCTACACAGATGTAATCAGCACGATAATGTAATTGGCTTGGTTCATGACTAAAGGCACTGGTGTTACCTCACTGCCTATGTAGTTAGCAACGACCCAGCAACCCAACACATGCCAGGAAAGGTCCCCACGAAGATTAAGTGCCTTCGTGGCACTTTCTGAGATGGTTAATATGTTTAAACTCCAGAGCTATCAGTTTGCAATAAACAACAGAAAACCAAAAAATTTTACTACTGATTACCCCTTTAAAGGGATTATGAATCACTGTTACAAATTTCTTCATGCTGTTATATTCTTCAAATGTTCTAAAAAAAAAAATAAAAACAATGTTTTCCTAATCTGCAAAGAAAATTTGAAGAAAAACTCCAATTTGTTCTGATGGAATGCTGAGTCCCAGGTAAAATTCTTTTATTGTCTCGTGTTTATCCCTTTTTCACCCTCAGAAGCAAAGAAATGAATAATCACAAATCTAAAATACTTCTAGATTATAAGCTTTTGCTAAAAAATAAGAGTGGTTTGTTTTACTTAGAGGGACTGCGTATTTTTAGTAGGCACAAGAAGACAACTTAGTATTTTGGCTTCTTAAGATTCTAAAGTATTAGCTAAACTAAACACTGGAAATTGCCTAGTCAAAATACTTCAACCAACAGAGGGAAATAAGGTCCACAGATCCTAAGATCTTGCCAAAATGTCATAGTACCAACAGCAGGATAGATGTGATTTAAATATCCTATTACTTTTTCCTATTCGCATATTCCAGAAAATGTCCAATCTCCAAATCCCAGAGCAAGAAAACCATAAACATGTTGCAAGAAATTTTCCACAGAAAACAATTAGGCTAAAATTTGGTGTTTGACCCAGATATAACATACAGCTTCTCATCAGCTAAATTAGATGCTTTGAAAACTACAGTATTACTGTAAATTCAAAGTATACTGTCTTAAATATGCATAAATCTGTAAGGCACTATTGGTGGGATGGGGGAATGACAATGCTAGAAAAGGCAGTATTTACTGAGTATCTACCATGGCCAGCTTTGCAAAGTTAAACCTTGCAGTAATACCAAGGCAGGGAGAAGACCCATTGTACATACAAGGAAACTGATATTCAGGCATTTAAGTACCTTCCCCATGGCTCCAAAGTAGGAGAGCCAAGTCAATGGGACTCTAGGACCTATCTTTTTTCAGACTGCCTCTTATTTGATTTTATCTCTTTATAGCTCTGTAAGACACGATACAGAGATTTTCTGAATCTTCAGCTTTAAGAAATTCACTTTCTTTAGTAAGACTATCAGAACCACACATCCTACAGCAGTGTATTTATAAAGAACACAACATTCTTACCTCCTTATCTCAATGGACATTACAGGAGAATCTATGCATCCTAACTCTCCCTTTCCCAACACAAGGGGGGAAGCAGCTAAAACAAACGCAGACTTGACTGCACTTCTGCTAGCATGCTGGGCAGCTCCATTCTTTTGACCCCTTTATCCAACCACAGTTACAACAGTAAAGTGGGGAGACAGAAATGGCCCAATGAGCTATGCCTAGCAGTTTGAAATGTCACTGCATCTCGTCCAAGGACTCTTGACCCCTTCCCGGTAGCCTCGCTCCTGGACTCGACAGCCCCTACACATTACTGAAATGATCTACTGGCGTTCAGCAGAGTATGAGTTATTTTTTACAACTCCAAGACCCACAATGATGCCCACAATGCCCAAAAGTCTGGCACACAGTAGTCACACGAATTTGCTATGGTGAATCCAGCTTGGAGCTGGGGTAATTTCTTCAAAGGACAACTTAACTAGCTCTAACTAATGGGTTTAAAGGTCTAGATTTTTTTAAGAGTCCCAGAAACCACTGGGCTCCAAGGACTCAATTTTTTATCGAAACATGACAAATGCTCAACAGTTAGTAACATCAAGTAAATGAAATCTTTCTCCCCAAAATCCATTTTAAAGATGGGAGAGGCCCAGACGTACTACCATCAACCAGTGATCTAAGTTCAAGCGCTGGGCCCCTTCTTTTATCACCATCTCGATGGTTTCCTCCCAGAACCTGTCTGTGAACAATGCCATAACCATGAGTAAGATTTATCAACTTAGACACAAACTTTGATACATAACCTCATAATACTCTTTGTACTTAAATCCTGAGCTAGTTGGTAAACACGAGCTGGGGCATGAATGCAGTACCATTTGCTGCTACTGAAAACCTCCCCCTTTTCAAACGCACACTTATCTTTGATAAAGGTCCAGCATGCTAATAAACCACTAAGAACTAGTGCCAAGAACTTTTAAGATTGTATGTAATAACTGCAGCTAACGAGACAGCAAATGTGGCAAAAATAACTGGTAGACAGATCTAAGTCAAAAGTATAAGGGTATTTATTCTGCTACTGCGACTTTCCTGAGGCTTGTGATTTTTCAAAGCAGAAAGTTTGGAGAAGAAAAAATAGACTATTGACAGAGAATTTCAAGATATTTTAAGTCCATTTCCAAAGTTCCATTTTCCCTTGTCCCACAGTGAAACAGTAAGGCTGCCTGTCTCATGGATAGAAAACAACAACAAATTAAAGGCATAACTGCCCCCACTTTCCCAGAAGAGAGAAATCTCATTTCTCTTCCCTTCTAAGAGCTTCTGCCCAAAAGGTAAGACTAAGCCACATAAGACAATCCAGACCTCTAGGTGAGAGGGACTTCTGTATGGCTACACTAACGCCAACCTGAACACGTCAAGTTCTCCTATTAAGTCCACAGTGAACTGATTCAGTATGACTTCAGTCATGGTAGTTACTGTGTGCCTCCACTATCCCTTCTCCACACATCTTGGTATTAATAAATCAGGTGCCGCATGGTTAAACAGCAGAGAAATTCCCGAGTAAGTCGTTCTAATTCAAGACAAGATGATTAATATTAACCAAGTGAATGTGTTACAAACATCCCTTTCAAAATCCTCAGAACAGTTCTGAGTAGTCTCAATTTTGCAGGTAAGAACATTCACAAGTAAAGTGACTTGTCTAAGGTCACACATAAGCAGCAGGGCTAAAATGCCCGGGTTTGTTTCCCCCTAAAGTCCATGTTTTTGCCACATTATCAACTACATCCTATTTGTAGGATAACCTGTTTCCCAATCTACTGAACCAGTATGTCTTTTTCCTTAGGGACCCCCACTCTATCAAGTTTCACTGTCAAGAACATTTAATACAAAGTTTACAATGATATTCAGCACACAGTTGACCCTGAACAGCACAGGGGTGAATATGGCTCATCTGCGGTTCCTCCTGGAAGCTGTGAGATTCCCCTTCTTTATGAAGCAATGGAAATAGACCCCAGACTCCACAGTGACTGAGGATCCACAAAGTATCTCCCTGAAGAATGTATATTTTTCAGTGTTAGTAAGAGAGAGACCTCTGAATGGCCACTTAGGAGCAGTGACTAGAGATTAAGCATAATAAATTAAAATCCCACAATGTAAAAGCTGGTCTTGGGGGAGAGTACAGCTCAGTGGTAGAGAGCATGCTTAGCATGCTTGAGATCCTGGGTTCAATCCCCAGTACCTCCATTAAAAAACCGACAACCAAAAAAACCTAATAAATCAACAGACCTAACAACAAATAATAACAATAATAAATAAATAAATAGACCTAATGACCTTCCCTGTCCCCAAAAGAAATGTTTTACCAACTCATGAGTAGCCAAAAATGAAGGAGAAAATAACCGAGTGGATATGGGATATAAATTCAATGACAAAAACAGGTACAGACAGTTTGAATATCATCCATATTATAACAAAATCAATTTCCAACGTTCAATGAACTTGAAGCCTTCTCCCCTCAGAAACGGCTACTCTTGCTCAGTTAAGTTCAACCTGACTGAGCACTATCCTTCCAGTCATTCAAGTCTTCCAGGCGAGAACACGCAGCCCAAGGCCTGCAGTCAGGAAAGGCCAAGCAAGAGCCTTACTCTACAGCACAACAGAGGAACAAACACACAGGCAGTTACACAGCCACAAATAGCTGTTTAATAACTTCCCTTCCCTCTTTCTCCATTTTTTAAAGGTCAAGCCCCAGGAGAAAGAAAGTGGGCATTTTCTAAACTACACCTCTTCAAAAACATTTAACACACGAAGGAAGCCAAGAAGTGGCTGGAAATAAAACTCCCGTCTAATCACTTCTACTTGACACCACCACAAAGTATTACAAGTGTGGAAAGCTGCATTTCCTAAAAGTTCCCCACTATCAATCAGGTTTCACTTTGGTTAAGCTCAAGAAATGATGTGAAAGAACTGAGGACATTAACACCTAGCTATGGTAGGTGACCAACAAATGTCGTAAGCCGCAAACTTCGGAGAGGCGGTGCATCAGGATCACTTATTTCTTGGAACTGCCAATAAAGTGTTTTTAATCTTAAACCAATGGAACCATATATTCACATCACCATATATTCAGGTTTTTCTACAAGACCCTCAGAACATGACATTTATTTACATGAATCTAAAATTCATGTGACTACCATATATTTGGACTTGATAAAATGTTAATTTCCAATCCTCCAAACCAACCAAACCAATTTTCAGAAATTACCGTTTTCTTGAACTTCAAAAATAACATGTTTAGACTATGACTCCATTCCTATAAAAGTCTAGGGAAAACTAGTGTTAGGATAGTGGTTATTTGAGGGTAAAAACAGTGACTACAAGGGATTCTGAGGGGAGCCTTCTCTACCAGAAATGTTCAGCTTCTTGACCTAAATGCAGATCACACAAGTTGGTTTCACTGTGTGAATATGAAAATCTGTATTTCCCTGTAAGTGTGCTTCAATTACACACACACACACATATATATAAAACTTGTCAGAGATCTGAAAACCACCCATGCTATTTTTGAAACAAAAAGAAAAACTAAGTTCAACCCACTAATATTAAAAGTAAAAATTTTGAAACCACAAAATCCATTTTAGCTGCTCAAATAAAAGGCCTAAGGAAGGGGGGTAAGGGCAGGGAAGGAAATAGCTCAAGTGTAGGGCGCATGCTTTGCATACACAAGGTACTGGGTTCCTCTAAAATAAACTTAATTACTTCTGCCCCCCAAAAAACCAAAACCAAAAACAAAAGGCCTAACTAAGATTTGAAGCAGGCAAGCTCTCACAGGATTTTGGAGTTGGCAGCCAATTTGATCAGCATGGAGAAGGACTGTCATCACGGAGAGAGCAGCAGCAGGAGGAGGAGGAGGAGAAGGAGGAATAGGCAATGCATTAGAGTCCTAATAAGCATATCTAAAGTACAAGTCTACTGCGATGCTGTTTCAGGGCTGAAAAACCTCAAACATACAATTTCTATCCTGTGGGTTATCTAAACACATCTGTAACCAGATCATACCTTATTTGCATTGCTTGAACTCTGAGGCCGCTGTAATCAACCTCTTTTTGCTCAAATTCTTTCCACTCATCTTCATCCTGTAAAACATGTACTGTTTGATCAATTAAAGCTGCAAAAACACAACTAAAACAACTATCAGGCTATAAAAAGGGATCAAGTGGCTGGAGCCTGAAGTGTGGACTCGTTTTCTGGCCAAAGTCCTTGCTCATTTCCAAGGCCGACTAGGCTGGAGGACAAACGTGTCCAGCAGTCAAACACTGTTACTTCCAACAGGTTCCTTCACGAGACCTGTTACTTTAAAGGCAACCCGGAAAAGCCGAATGAAGAAGCAATCCCACAACTAAACGTCTAGCTCAATGTTGCCATGAGACTTCTTGGCTTCGAGACCAAGTCGCGCCAATTACAGCTGCCATACAAGTGATTGTTAGAAAATGCAGCTCAGACTACTGGCAAGTCAGAACGCTCAGTTACTCAGAGTAGACGTCACTCGATAGATGCGGCTCTGTGCTGGGCACTTTGGACCCGGACCGACTTCCCCGAGAGGGTGCCGCTGCCTGCCTGCGTCCTGGCTCGAGCCAGGCGACATGAGACGGGAGCGGGGGTCCCGCGGGGAGAGCCAGCCAGCCCGCCGTGAGAAGCCCGCGTCACGTGGCCAGCCTCCGCGCCCGTCCGCCCGCTGGCCGGCCCCCGGCGGCCCCTCCCGGACGCTCCCCGCAGGCAGGTAGGCAGGCAGGCAGGCGGGCGGGGGCGGGCACATGGGCGCAAGCGCGCGGCCCGGGCCCCGACTCCTGCCCTTCCCGGCTCCTCACCTTCGTCACGGCCTTGGTGGCGGCGCCCGCGGTCCCGCTGTCGCCTGGCCGGGCCCCAGCGCCCGCGGTCCCGCCGTCGCCCGGCCGGGCCCCACCGCCAGCCGAGCCCCCGGCTCCGCTGCTCCCGCCAGCGCCCGCGGCTCCGCTGCTCCCGCCGGCGCCACTCGCGGCGCTCGCCGCCCGGTTGCTCCGCTCCTTCTTCTTCTTCTTGTCCCTCTTGGCGAAGAAGTTGTCCAGGCTCCGCTCCTCCGTCTCGGCCATGGCCGCGGCCTCCTCGGCCCGGATGGGTGGGGCCACCGGCAGGCGCGGCCCGCGGGGCTCGGAGCTGGGGGTCGAGGCCGGCTCGGCGATCACGCTCCCGGGCGCGGCGACGCCTCAGCCCCGCGGAGTCGTCGAGGCGTGTGCGGCGGGGCGGCCGGCTCCCCCCGCGTGCTGGTGAGCGGTGGTACGGTCCGCCTGGGGGCTCGCGCGCCGCCGCCGCTGCCCGTGTCCGGCCGAGCTGCCGCTGCTTCCGCGACTGCGGTGCAGGATCCCGCCCGCTCCGCAGCCGGAGAGGAAAAGGAACGCGCGGGCCAGAGGCTCCGGCGAGAGTGCTCGGGTAGTGGCGGCGCGTGCAGGAGGAAGACGCGCGCGCGCAGGCCCGGAGAGGAGGGGAGAGGGGATGGGGAGGGGAGGGAGGGGGAGGAGGGAGGGCGGGCCACCAAAAGAGAGAGGCAGCCCCTGCGCCGGCGTACTTAGCTCCGCCCGCAGCTGTGGGAGCGTGGAGGGGAGGGCGGTGGGAGGAGACAGAGGCGGAGCTGGCAGAGGAGCCAATCAGGTGGCAGGACGAAGCTCTTAGGCGACAATCCCTGCCTCTGAGTGGGCGGGGCCGTAACTTGGGGGCGGGGAGAGGGTATATGCTAAATAAGTGACGTGTCAGATGATCTTGCATCTCAATTGGCCGAGGATTTAGCCCTGAGGGCGGGCATTTAGAGGGCTGGTTGGTGACTTGGCTGAAGGGATCTGGTCGAAGCGGCGGGTAGGTCTCGTCTGGGCGCATGCGTAGGGTACACGTGTGTCTGCTCGCTCAGAGCGAGCTGCGGCCTTGCAGTCGTTTGAACTTTAGAGGGATGGAAAAGCACCGTGGAAAGGCTAGCTATGTTGAAGATGGTACTGTCCCCTCTGCTCGCTTCTGTACTTTTACCTTCTGAAACAGTCCGGCAACCATTAATTTTCATCATACGGGATGATTATCATAAAAAGGGGTGGGCACGGTGGGTTTGAAGTTTAGTTTTCATTTACTAAAAGATTAGTAAGCCAGTAGGTAGATAAAAGGAGATTGATTTTATCTGAACTCCGCCCTCTACTAGATACTACCAAGGTCAAACTAAATAAACCTGACCCTCAAGCTCCTCATCTGTAAAATGGAGATGTTAGCTCTTGCAAAAATATGTAGGGAAAGAGTACCTGTTAGCTACTCAGCACAGTGGTTAATACACATTGCAATAAATGATTTCATAGTACTTTTAAATGGTGCCCCCTGCCCTGGCTTCGGTCTAAATGATGACTATAATTTATCATTAGCTTTTTTATCTCTGATTAAGGGAGGGGAATAGTGTATCATGAGATGGAGACAAAATGCCCATGCTATACCTGGTTGTACTATTTAAGTACCTTCTGGGCCTTTAGAATGAAATGAATCTTTGCATATGAAAAAGGAGTCTAATGTAAGGTATTAAACTTTCCACTTCCTCCTCCTAAAGACAGAGGAGAGAACTGTCACAACTACTGAGGAAATGACTCAGACATATGTTAGTAGCCTTGTGGGGCACCAACACAGACAGAGCACAGTCAGTAAATGGAGCTACTTCTTTGTCTTTTCCGCTACAGTTTCCCGCTAAAGTTTGCCCCCACACCCCCAATATTAAAGAACTAAGTCCAGAATTTGTCCAAGAAGCAAATCAAGGACCTGGCCTCAGCCAACAGGAAGTTCACTTATTCCCAAAACATAAACTGCCCCCAACAACGCAGGATGGGTTGCTAAGTAACTTCCTTCTGTGACACCACTTTCCTTGTGATGCAGGCCAAGTTAAGTACTGCCCCCCATCCCCACCTTCCTTAATATCTCTGGTCAAATTTCTTTTTCTTCCTTCTTCTCCCCCATTTTCTTCCCTCCTTCCTCTCTCCTTCTCTCCCTTCCTTCCTTCCATCTTTCCTTCCTTCCCTCATCTGTGAAGCATCTATTTAGCTATATTTAAAGCAATGTGTATTATTTTAGGAAGAGTAATTTGTCATTTCTGCCTTTAACTCCTGTGTAATCTAGAAGAAAAGATCTAGGTATGAATAACTGAAATAGAGTCCTCCCTTTCTTAGATCTGCATCAATGTGTCAGTGTCGTGAAGGAATTAATGACTTGGGGACAACCAGAGTTGAGGGTTAACGCAGACACTGTTCAGTGTGCTTGATGGCATGCTTCCCAAACTTGGTGCTATGTAAGAAACTCAGGTTAGCCCAGTAGAGACACTGGGGTCTTTGTGGTTGTGTCATGATCTGATCATTAGCTGGTCCCTTCCTCTTTAAATTTCCTGCCCTGAAACTGACAGCATATATTCGTACCAGTTCTTCCTTTTAAATCTCCCCAGCTACCCTCCTCCAGATAGGTTCCAGGGCCCTGAATCCAGCCATCACCACAACCCTCATCATCACCCTGCCCTCATCGTCATCCTCTGGTACTCGATGTTTGTACCTTCCCCATCTTTAAAGCAAAACAGGCCTTCATTTGTCCTTGCTAGGTGGGAAGTTGAATAGTGGTGGGGACTTGGACCATTCTCAGATATTTCAGCACATCTTCTAAAGCTCGTAATGCTGTCTGAACACGGAAATTTCTCTCTGAGTCCTCTGAAGTGGTACAGTCCAAAGAACATCATCTATCTCCCTCGACAAGGCTCACTGAGCTCCAATATTCCGTGAGCTCAAGAGCTGGCACAGGGCAGCTGGGCCCAGCCCCATTGTCCCCGGGTTCTTTTTTCGCTGAGCTATTTGTTCCAAGTTCCATTCTGCTACCTAGGCTGGAAATTCCACACATGCTCAGCTC